ATGCAATCAAGATGGGAAGAGGGAAGAGTGCAAAGGGAGTTGCTAAGACTTCAAAGACAAAGCAATGTTGTAAGATCATAAAAGTGTGGTTCTTTTGACAGTGCTTAATATATACTAAGAAAGGAGCTCCTCAAAGTTAAGGACTTTAAAGGCTAGGGGATGCAGTATTTAGCAATGTGGTCCTAAGGTTAAAAGACAAAATGGTAAATGGCCTAAAACAGTGGGAAAATGTTATATTCAGAAGCCCAGGTTCTAGTGCAGAGTCTGATTTGCAAGGCACTGGACAAGTTATTTAAGTTCTAGGCCTCTATTTCCTCCTTTGCAAGATACAAGTAATATTTGCTGTGCCTAAAACAGGCTTGTTTTGTAAACAAAGAAAATACTTTACAAGAAAATGATTTTGAAATTGTAAAGTAGTATGTTTATAATGTTTTATTAACACCATTAATACTTCTTTCGGTCATATTAATTCCTAATCCCTATTAATAAAACTGTCCATTCCCTCATATTCTGAAACCACAGTCAAAAGACTCTGCCTAACTAAGCTCCTGTCAAAACTCATTCCTAATTGACCTCTATATATCATCCATAACATTTGCTGGTCCCCAGTTTTAACTCCGTCCACTCAATTTGGAAGCATGTACAGCTGTCTTCTACACATCATGCCATGATCCTCACAAGCCAGTTAGTATGATCATCATTCGAATTCTATAAACCCATGGGAACAGTTCATTAACTACCTCACCTAACCTTTTTTTTGTGTGAAAGAGCCAGGGATTACTCCTGCTTCTCTTTAATTGTTCATCTAGAAGGGTTTAACCACTTGCATCTTTTTTTTCTTTCTTTTTAAATATCAGAAAAGACTCCATTTGATGCCCTAGCCCCCAAAACCAAAGAAAAGTAAAAATAATCATCACTTACTTGCTTATTCATTCATTAAATATTTAATGTTAGCCTAGTATGTGCTGGTTATTATTTTAGATGCTGGGAAAATGGCAGTGACCAAAAAAAGACAAAACTTCCTGCCCAAATGAAGCATAAGATTCTAATAGTAGGGGAAAAAAATCAACAAGATAAATCATAACATATATATAGTACGGTAGACTCTGATAAACAGTAAGAAAAACTAAAGAAGAGTAGAGAAATAAGAACTATATATCAATGTGAGTCTGTATGTGTTGAGACTGTATGTGTGTTTGTACGTGTGCACACACACATACGGGAGCTCGTATGAGAGAGAAAGAGGAAAAAACTTTAGATACAATGGCCAGGAAAATACTTGCTGAGAGGGTGATATATATTTCAGTAAAGTCTTAAATGACTGTTAAATTATTTCTTCATTTCAATTTACCATTTGTCAATAAAAAGTCACATACGCACAGACACACACATACACACAACCCAATTTAAATCTTGTTACATGAACAGAATATCAATCAAAATTATTTTAAAACTGGCTTGAAAAATAATACTTATGAGCTCTCTAAACCATACCATTAAATCAATAAGCCGTGAATGTGGTGGTGGTTCTAAGGTGGGTGGAAAATTTAAATTTAAAAATGCCCTAAATAAGTATATGAATGTACAGTAAAATCATAACATTTTAGGATTAAAACATAACTAAAGGAATATTTTCAAAGTACCAAATTTATGATCACATTAAAACTTTACACACAAATCCATAAACATATCACTAAACATAACAATGAATATTAGGTAAATTTCCTTAACAGAAGGAAAAATGTAAAACTTTACCCTATAAACATCATAGGTATCACATAATTTTTTTCTTTTACCAGTTTACTTTTAGGCCCATATGAAAAGTTAAAGATACATATACAATTTTGCAACCCTAAACATTCATTTAAATTACAAAGAATAATACGAATATTGTTAGGAGAAAATCAGATTATTATTTAAATAAGCTTGACTCCTTAATTAATATTAATTGTGTATATGGCAAAACAGAAAACTAGAAGACCCTGTCTAAAACTCAAGAGTATATGGCAGACTCAGATAAGATTAGTTCCTTCTAAGGTATCAAAACTGTAACTGGATGGCCTGATTATATTTTAATAACATCTTAATAATTTCATGATTTGAAAACAAAACCAACCAAAAACTACTGCTTGGATAATTATATTACAGAGTTTACTAAACAACATATATAGGAAGATATTTAACAAAAGCATGCTGTTGATTTAACCACCAGTCCCCTCTCCCTAAAACTGGGGTAGGCAAATCACATAGGACAAATCTAGCCTACTTCCTGATTTTGTAAATAAAATTTTATTGGAACACAGTCATGTCCACACATCTATGTATTGTCTATGGCTATTTTTGTTCTATAACAGCAGAAATGAATAGTTGATACAAAGACTTAAATATTAGCTATCTGGCCCTTTACTAAAATGTTTATCAATTCCTGCCTTAAAAGATTGTAAAATCTTTTATTCACAGTCACAGTTGTAGTTTGGGTCATGGTATTATCCTCGTAACATTCTTTCCTTAGGGTTCCACATCAATATTCACTAGGCTGATTTCTTCTTTCTGAGGAATGTTGTCTTGTCTTTAGAAGCATGCTGATAGGACATCCTCAGACTTGCCTTTCAAATACAGATGCTCCAAAACTTACCACAGGGTTACGTCCCAATAAACCCATCTTAAGGTAAGTCAAAAATACACTTAACATATCTAACCAACCAAACATCATAGCTTGGCCTCACCTACCTTAAACATACTCATAACATTTAAATTAGCCTATAGTTAGACACATTCTGGCAATACAGTACCCTGGTGGAGTACTGGTTGTTTACCCTCGTGATCACATGGCTGACTAGGAGCTATGGCTCACTGCTCGTGCTCAGCATCTCCAGAGAGTATTCTATTTCTTTCTACTGAATGTGTATCACTTTTACACCATTGTAAAGTTGAAAATCGTAAGACAAACGATCATAAATCAGGGACCATCAGTAGTAATTTCCATTTTCTAATGTGGATGCCATTCAGCTACAAACCCTACTGCAACAAAACTCATCTTGCAAATGTCTTTTGTGTCCCTGCATATGTGAACTGCTTTCTTTAACATTCACCTGCATATAGTCTCTGTCTAGTCAGTTAATTACAAATTGTTTCATAATTTCTACTTCGGAGTTAGTAATGCTTAACGTATTTTCTATAAGCTACAGTACTTGTTGAATAATGTTAATGGAGTTCTACTCTTAGACTATGTGAAACTACTCACTGGCCAATTAATTCTGAAGAAAACATCCAGACCTACTACTCTTTAACAAAATCTCCATATTGTTATCTTATTTGTAGCCTAACTGAATGACCAACTTAGTATTACTGACATACTGGCTAACTGAACTCATGGCTGAACTCATACCTTCGCCCCCCCCACCCCCCCACCCCCCACC